GGGGGGGGGGGGGGGGAGTGGGAAGGTGGTGAGGGGCACCCAGGGCCGCCCCCAGCGAGCTGAGGGCAGGGAAGCACCTATCCCCCACAGACGCATGAAAGCAAGCTGCGCATGCGCAAGGGCACCCTCGCTCCTCGGGGCTCTGCTGCCCCCTCCTGGAATGGGCTGCTGCTACAGCAGCAGCACGTGACCTCCTCCTTTTCACGCCCATGGCTGTTTGAGCCTGCAGAGCCACCGTAGCACCCCCCACCTCCCCAACTGCCACAGAGCGGCGAGCTAGAGCGTCTCCCATCTCTATGGTCGGTGGTGCGATGCGGTCGGTTAGTTATGTACAGCGGGTGGCGCTCGAGTTCAGCGGGAGCCTGTTCCCGCACGCCATCCGCCTGGGGGACGCCGACAACGACACGGTACGGTACAGCAGGAGTGGGGTGCCGGCGCGGGAAGTAAGCGAAGGGAGGGAGGCGGGGGAGGAGAGAAGGGCTGCGCGCATGCGTAATGAAGGGTGAAGCTGGGAGTATGCGCAGTGTGCTGTGAAGGGAGTTCTTGCTTTGTGCTGCGAAAGGGAGTGCGCGCATGCGTAGTGGAGAGGCTGGGGGAGCATACGCAGTGCTGCGAGCTTGGCAAGGGTGGGTGTGGCCTGAGGCAGGGGCTGGCACGTGCTGTGCTTAATGCAAAATGCTACCCTACAGGGACCCCTGCCTTGTTGCGAGGCCCTGCTCCTACCCCCAATACAGCTGGTGGAGCACCAAGCACAGGAAGCAGGGGGACACACACGGGGCTGGGGGCAGTGGGGCCCTGGCCAGGCCTGGTGGTAGGACAAACGGAGGCCCAGGGAGCATGTGCCCCACAGGCCCTCACTTGTCTCCAACTTCCCTCAGCCACTGCTCCTGCCTGTGCCCCGCTCACTCCCTCCCCGCTGGGGCCTCAGTATGTCCCCGCTGCATAGCCAGGGTTGGCACAGGGTGGAGCCACGAGCAGCTTGACGGGGTGGTGCGCGGGAGGGCATGCAGCCTGGGAGGGCATGGGGCATGTGCACCTGGTTCTGTACATGGGGTGGGCTGGGGCCACATGGGGCTCTTCCCAGCAGGGTGTTGAGCTGGATAGCAGTGCTGGGAGGGGGGCTGCAGGCACCTGAAAATTTGCCTTAGCCCCCCCCAACCCACCTTCCCAGCACCACCACGACCTGGCTTGAGCACAGCGTGGCCTAGCCTCTCCACTGGGAACAGCCTGCCACTGCCTTCCAGCTCTAGCCTGCCCTCACTGGGCATATGGCCCTCATGACCTGCGGGGGGGGAGGGAGAAGGCAGGGCTGGGCTGGGCTGGGCTGGGCTGCACTCAGGGTGGGTGGAGGCAGTGCTGGGAGAGGGGGTTGGGGGAGCTACAGCAAATTTTTGGGTGCCTGCAACATCCCCCTCACTGTAGCCCTGCTCCCAGTGGTGCTGCCACCTGGCCCAACCCCCACTGGGAAGAGCCTGGCACAGCCTACAAAAGCAGCCAGCCTGGCCGGCATGCATATCCAGGAGCGCACACACCCCATGCCCTCCTGAGGTGCGTGCCCCCGTTCCCCTCGCCCCCTGGACGAACCTCTCACAGCTCTGCTCTGTGCCCTGCCCGAGCTGTTAAGTGCCTGCGCCTGCTCCAGGCCCACTCCCTCCCTCACAGATGCTGCAGCCACCTGTGCTGCCCTGCATTTGGAGGGATGCATGCCCCCCAGGTCTGTGTGTGGCGGAGGTGGTTGCCATTGCAGACTGGCCTTTGTGCCCTGAGCCCCGCTGCAGCTGGCCTGGGAGTGGATGGATGCCATGTGCGTCCAGCCGCTAGACTGAGCCTCGTCCCCTGCCTGCCAGGCAGCTGGACGCATGTGGCGTCAGGGTGCTCCCAGGCCAGCTGCAGCGGGGCTCAGGGCACAAAGCCCAGCCTGCAACAGCAGTTACCTCCACCTTGTGGAGATGGGGGGGCATGTGCCCCCCGGGGCCTCTGCCAGGATGTGCACAGCGGCTGGAGCCCCCCTCCCTGTGCCCCTGGACAACTTCCTGTGCTCAGTCCCTACCACCCACCTGGTCAGGGCCCCATTTACCTCACCCTTGCTCCTGCCTCTGCCACAGTGTCCCTCACTACAGGGGCCTTGATCTGGCCCTCGCCCTTCCCTCCCCCATGTGTGGGCCGGGAGCGATCCGGGGCCCTTTTTTCACGCCGCAGGCTGTGGCCAGCAGTCCGGACACACTGGGTCAGAGAAAGCAGGCGACACGCTAGAATTAGGCATGGGCACTTAATGGTTGATTTAAAGATTGTTTACTTACACCAAAGATGGTCACAGTATAGGCTGGAAAGCTTGCTTGAGTTGCAGTTACAGATAGAAAAGACGAGACGTGGACTAAAGTTCCTTCCCGTGAACACTCTTCTAGCCCGTCTGGTTGGAGGCTCTAAACCGCGAGCCCGTCACGCCAACCGAAGAAAGTACTCAAGACAAAGAGCTCTGAATAGACTCACACGAAGTTTGCTAGGCTCCGTGGATCTTTTTGCGTGCAGGAAAGAGGGATACGTCGAACAGGGAGAGGCTAGAGGCTGATCAGACCTCTGTTGCCTTCTTGAAATACGCTGGGTCCAATAGGCTCCGCAGCACTTAGAGATCTTCACAAGACATGCAGTCTCCTCCTCCTGGTGTTCATGGAGTCCTCCAACTTGGGCGGAAACCACTCAAGCTTTTTATACGGCTAGCAAGCCAATCACTAGCCGCCACGTAGGAATAATTTAGAAACAGCCAATAGTGGGGCACAAATTAGAATACAAATGGCGGGAACTCCTTGCAATGCGCATTTCTGTGCTGCAAAGAAGAAATGCACCCTGCAAAGAAAGCTTCAAATTGGCGGGAAAATAATTCAGTGGTGCCAAAGCACACACAAAACAAAAATCACACCCTTGGGTTGTGACACCCCACAGACTAACCTGCTGGGCTGGGGTCGGGGGGTGCACTCTCTCCCCTCTTTGCTTTCCAACCTGCTGCTTCTAGACCCCCTTATATAGGGACTTTGGTCTTTATCTCCGTCCTGGGTGGCTCTGCGTATGCGTGTGTGTGAATGCATGCATGTGTGTGTGTGTTTGCATGCTTCCCATCTCTAACTTCCTTCCTTCTGCAGCGGAACGAGCTGGTGGTGGGGGACACCAGTGGGAAGCTCTACGTGTACAAGAATGATGATACCAAACCCTGGACTGTGCGTTCATGCCAAGGAATGGTCAGTTGGAGCGGAGGTTCTAGATTCCCTAGTCCCTTAGCAGCCCATACGGATTGTCTGCCTGGGAAGTTGTGTGGTAGTGTCAATCCCAGGGTGTACCAGCAGCCAGGATGGGCTCTGACATCTGGCACAACTGCAGGAGGCACCCTTCTCCCCCCACAAGCTTGCTCTGAGTTGCTGGGCTGCCTAAAGCCCTAGGGAGCCACTGGTGAGGAGATCATGTCCTGGCCATCCCAATGCAGTCCTGCCTGGGCTGAGTGTTTTGCCCCCACAGCTTTGCATGGGTGTGGGTCTGGTGCCTGGAAGCTGAAACTAGTGGTGGTGTCAGTTAGAGGGTGCCATCTGTGAGGAGGACCCCAAGAGGGTGGGGGTTGCTAGGGCAAATTTAGCTTTGTGTGCTGTGCCCTTGACCCTAGTGACTTGCCTCCCTCTTCTCTTTTGCAGCTCACCTGTGTTGGTGTCGGGGATGTGTGCAACAAAGGCAAGGTAAGAGCATCTGGCCCCTTCCCAGTTACATGCGCCTTTGTCTGGGTAGGGGTCCACAGCCCAGAGTGTGGGGCTCTGGCATGTTCCCAGTGAGAAGGGTGGTGTTACCTATATTACAGGTAACCTTGTGCTACTAATATGAGGCAGAAATGGGTCTACAGCCCAACCTTTTATTTGCTTGCACCTTAAAACATGAAAGCAGACTTTGGGATAAATGTCTATCTGGTTACTGGCAACAGCACTCATAGTCTTACCTATACCAACTAGGGAGACTCAAAAGGTGGGAGGAGGGTGGCTTGCAGTTTGGCAGTAGATCTTCTTGAATTTGCTGAGTTCTCCAAATTTCCCTTCAGTTATGCCCAATATTTATAGGTGGCTGGTTTTAATGTTCCAATAAATGATCTCTGGTTGGTTTTATTTAAGTTTCTTTGTTTCACTGGAACTTCTGAACCAGATCTCTTGTGCACTTGGAAGGTATCAATTAGTTGGGATTTATATTCTTGGGAAAGAGGGAAGATTTCTCCTTTCTCTTTTCCCCATTGTGGAATGCTGTTCCAGTTTCTTCCTTACATTAATTTATGGTTTTCTCTAACAGGCTTTTTTTGTTTTTTACAAATTATCTAAGGATTTTAACAAAAGTATATCTATTATAGCAAAATAATATTTAATACATTTTGGTTACATCAGTCACTACTACTACTATTTTAAGAGAAAGATAAAGATATATTTTAAGATATAGTGTATATGGATTATATAATGTGTGGGCTTCCCTTATCTCCTTTCAGGCCTTATGCTTTGTTTAATTGTTTGATGGTTTCCTTTACTTGCTGACCAAGTTAGTTGTCACATCTGCCAAGGTTCACGCTACGGTTACTCAGAAACAGGCTTTGAGCCTTCTGCTTTCCCTTCCCTATTCCTGGGAGAGCTTACATGGTTGGCTGAAGGACTGTCCCCTGATTCATGTGTCAGCTGAGTCGCACTGAAAGGCTCCCTCTCCACAGCCCCTTCCTGGGGAAGCAACATAGTAGTGACTGGTGCATCTCCACAGGCTGGCACTGTGCAGCAAAAGTGGCCATGGGACTGCCTGCCTGACCACAGAGGTCCACTCTGTGCAGGATCCTGCTGCAAAGCTGGTTCCCACATGCTATTCAGCCTTCTATGTAGAGACCTGCAGGGCAGAGTGGAGAGAAGGCCACCCCACACAGCAGGTATCTCTGGGAGTGATGCAGCAGCCCTTGCAGGGTCAGTATCTGGGGAGTGGAACCCAACACCTGTGGATTCCAAAGACCACACATACGTTCTCCAGCCTCACTGCTGCAGCAGGCTCATAACCCCTTCTTACTCTGGAAAGGCCAGAGCCATGCTAAGGAAGTGGGAGGCAGCCAAAGCCTTCATCTGGCAAAGGAGACTGTGTGCTGCTGCTGCCCCGTTTCTTGTCAGCACAGACAGGATCTCCCCTGTCCTGCACTGTGCTCTCCAAGCTCCCCTCCATTGGCACACTGCAGTGATCAGAGGCCTTTCTCCCCGCACCTCCCAGTGTCCATCTTGATGGTCCTGCCCCTGTGTCGGATAGATGCAGGCCATTCTGCCTCCCTCATATCAACTCGGAGCCTCCTCTCCCCACTCAGAACCTGGTTGTGGCAGTGAGTGCTGAGGGTTGGTTCCATCTCTTTGACCTCACTCCACCACCCTCAAAGCACTCAGAGGCCTCCAGCCACCATGAGCCTCCGCCATCGGATGAGCAAAGGCCAGTGTTCAAGCAGCATATTCCTGCCAACACCAAGGTCATGCTGATCAACGACATCGGTGAGCAGGGCTGCAAAAGGGCAGGGAAGGCTTGTGGCAGGGGGTCAGAGCCCAGAAAGGGCCTTGTCACCTCTTGGAGATCAACCCCAAGTGCCACGGGCTGTGGTGGGGAGTTTGGGGATCACAGCCCTGGACAGCATCTTGCACAGGATTGTGAGGATTAGAGGGATCGGGCCTGCTTTGCATGGGGCTTAGAGGGGGAGCCCAGGTACCAGGGCATAAAGGGGAAGGGTTCTCTTTCCTGGTGTAGTAGATGTTCCACCATGGCCCAGCCGAGCCCTTTAATAGAGTGGGAAAGACTTCTCAGGCTGTTGGCTTGCTGCAGTACATGAGCTGTTAGAGGGGCTGAGGTGACCATCACCAAGGCATGTGGGGGTAGCACTGGTACAAGTGAGGTGTAGGTGACTCCATGCCAGGGCTGCTGCAGGCTGTGAGACCATACCATCTAGACAGACCCTGTTGCTGTCTCCCTTCATGTCCCCTGCAGACGGCGACGGGAAGTGTGAGCTGGTGGTGGGTTACACCGACCGTGTGGTGCGAGCTTTCCGCTGGGAGGATTTGTCCGAAGGCTCTGACCACCTCTTGGGGCAGCTGGTCCTCTTGAAGAAGTGGCTACTAGAAGGGCAGGTAGGAAGCAGTGATTCTGTGGCTGAGGCATGTCCCTGTTGGGGGGGGTCTCAGGATGCAGTGTTTCCATGTGTGGGGGGCTATTCTGGGATACATGCAGCTGCACTGATTGCTCTGTTTTTTGGGAGCTGTTCCCCCATAGGGTGTTCCTCTGCCCTTGGAGAGGGCACTTGCTTTACATTGCTCACTGGTGCTTTGGGAAGCCTGTGGCTTCTCTGCTCACAGCTGTCCTTGCTGCTCCTGGGCGGGCACAGGTAGACAGCCTCTCCGTGAACCCTGGCCCCGATGGCGCCCCAGAGATGATGGTGTCTCAGCCAGGCTGCGGCTACGCTGTCCTTCTCTGCACCTGGAAGTTGGAGCAGCAGCAGCAGCCTGCAGCAGAGGAGGGAGACAACTCTGCAGCCAACAGGTGAGAGGTGTAGGGATCTGACGGGAAAGATGGGAGGGTGGAGTTCCACAGGCCTTCCACAAGGTGGCACACTGCACCACATGGTCAAAGGCTGGTTTCTGCCATCCACCCCATGCCATTTGCAGCCTCCCTGGCTGCTGTTTCCACCTGATCTAGGGGCATCTGCCTTGTGCATGGGACCTCCCTTTCTTGCTGTACCAGAGGCTGAGCACTAGCTATGAGCATTTGCCTGCTAGCAGGGCAATGAGGGGTCACTCCAATGTGCACAGGACATAGGGGGTGGGGGGAAGCAGATGAGAGCCCCGGGGATATCAAGGGTTGGGGGGGGGGGAGGTGGAAGCAGTGTAGGGGTGTGATCTGGGGAGAGGCCGAATCCAGAGCCCCTTCATGGGTTATCAGCATTAAGGTTTTCATGTTTATGTTCATCCATGTCCATTGTGGGGCAGGTTTTTATCATGTGCTCGGCATCAGAGGTGGAGAAAGCCCCATCAGCCCGCCTCTTCCTGGAAGGTGGCGAGACTGGTCTTTGCAGAAACAGACTGGAGTGGGCAAAAGAGCACTGTCTGCCTCCATCTCTTCTTCCAGTGAATGCAAACCAGAGACTGGAGGGTCCCTGCTAGGGATGTTCTTTCCTTCCTGGGAAATGGTATTTCATTGGCTTGTTTTCCTCTTTTTCAGCTCCCTTCTGAGTTCTCCCCCAACTTCATTCTACTGTATTAAGTGTTAGCAAATCCCCATCCTGCACCAGCAGGGGTCCTGTAGATAGACCGGCCCTGTTTCCTATTCCCCTCTCTTCATTGATTGGGACACAGCACACGTTCACTCTGTGCACCGTCTCCCTGCCCCTGCCTTGGATGTGCAAACTCCAAGGGATGACTTGGCAGTTCTGGCTGGCTGGGAGCCCTGACCCTGTCCCTCCTGTCTGCCTGTCCCTAGGGAAGCTCCAGTGCGTGACGTTATTCTTCACCAGACATCTGGTCGCATCCATAACGAGAACGTTTCTACCCACCTCATTGGCAGCATCAGCCGAGGTAAGAGGCAGCAGCTGTGCCCCAGGAACCCAGGTTCTGAACTGCCACCCCTGAGGGGCTCTGACAGACCAGCACATGAGTACATCCAAGGTAGAAGCAGGTATCTGAAAGTTAAAACAAAAAAAGCTGAGTAGAGTAGGGCTGAGCTTGGCAGTGGTTTCAGCCTGGGAGTGAGCACATGACCAGAGGAACCACTTCTCTCCACAGATTTTGTGGCTTTGTGCTAATTTCCCTGTGTTGCCAACTGATCCTCTTCCCTGTGATGACCTCCCCTTGTTCTCACAGGCTGAGTTCAAGCTAAAAGAACAGACACTTGCTTAGGCCCCTGTGCTCACCCTCCTCTGGGATACTAGCCTGTATTTGTAACATACTTCAGCCCAGATCCCCACAGGTCAGCAGTAACCATGTCACGCAGAACCCAGGCAGCAGCAGGATGAGCCAGCTGGTCCCTTATCACTGGAAATTAAATGTTGAAAATTACTTTGTAATGGAGTGGAGTTCCCTGCAGAGGAGGATAATCAATTCAGAGCTGTCAGGAAGCAGGGGTAGTAACAAAACAGTGAGACTACAACCAATAACTGCTATACCAAGTGGATATTCTAGGCAGGGGGGCGGAAATGGGGAGAAATGAGGAATGCTACATTCCTCCTGCTCCATACCCATGTATCATAATTCTGTTTTGGTGGTCCCCTGGCTTATTGCTTGGTGGCCAAGTACTGTGCAGATTTGCTGCCTGATCCAGAGCCCAATGAAGTGCACAGGAGGCCTTGCATAAGATTCCTAGAGTGCTATTCAAATTACCAGTACTAGTGATGCACTGGGCCTGACTTCTCTGTAGTGCTGCTCTCTGGCTCACACCAAAGCAGCTGCATCACACTCGGCCAAGTATCTCCTACTTCACACCTGCATTTGTGAGAGCAGGGTCGGACCGTTGCTTCTGCTGTAGTGTTGACCCTTTTGCCTGGGGGCACTCTCCAATCCAGGCCATTCAGTTACATTTCAGAGGGGTTGGAGGAGGCAAGCCAGGGTGTTGGGTCCTGATTGAGCTCCAGGCACGTTCTGCCTCCATATGGGGCTTTGAGGAGAGGGCATATTCCTGGCCAGGGCAAAAGGGGAGTTGAAATATGTCCTTCAGTGGGAGGCCAGGGCAAGAAGAGAGTTCTCCCTCCTTGGACAAGGGGCTTGAAGAGAAGTGGAACAGCTGTTCCAGACACCCTAAGAGGTGGTAGGAGCGTCGGGTCGCAAGGGTAGGAGTGGGCAATGTTCTGACAACAAATAGAAGTACCTCAGCCACCCCCCTCAGCCCAGACGGAGTAGAGCAGAGGGCTGCAGAAGCCAGGAACATCCATAGAGGACCCAAGCTTGGGACAGCAGCTAGGTTGAAGCTGTTCACTCCTCTGTTTTCCAGTATGTCATCCACTTCCAACTAGAGGGGAAAGACTAGAATGATGACCTCCATGCCCTCACCTCCCCCAGACACATCAAAGATATGCTGCTCTGGCTAACTACACCCTGACTGATCCTGGTCCTGCTGCTCCATTGAGAAGGGGCAGGGACTGAGGGGGTGAATATTGAGGCTTTGGAGAGACCACAGCCAAGTGTGAACACTAAGGTCTGGGGAACCTGCTCATAAACAGACACTCAGACCCCACAATTGAGTATGGTATTAAAATGGGACTAAGTGAAATGTATTGGTACTACAGGAAGACAGAAGAGGATGACAGGAATGAAATGGCAGACCTTGTCTGGTGGAGAGGAGTCTGACATAGCCTTTTTCAGGAGTAGACCCTCTGAGGAGGGCAGTGGGTAGTGGTATGGGTATAGAGATGGGTGCATGGTGTGAACTGTATAACAGGTTTTTAGTGTGCTTTGAGTTGCCAAGTGTTGGCACACAGCCCACAAGGGCCACTTGGCAGAGTGTTGGAAGTGGAGTTGTATATTTATTTATATATCTAGAAATAATTCTTTTTGCAAAAAAAAAAAAAGAGGTCTAGGGTAGGCTGCAGCATAACCTACATCTGCTTCTGTTCTGTATTCACAGGCTGCCCCACAGCAAGTGGTGGCTCGGGCCTTTTCGCCCTGTGCACTCTAGACGGTAAGTCCTGCTGCTACCTTTGGGTCACAGTCAGAGAAGGAAATGCCCCCCAAGTGCAGCAGGGTCTGGGGTGCAGTCCTGAGTCACGTGGGAGGCTGGATTCAGGGCAGGATGGAAGTAGATGTCTGCAGTGAAGGCTGGGGAGGTTGGTTATGCATGGGTATCATTTCTCAGTCTCCTCACTCCCACAGGGTTTCTTATGGGTGGAAACCCCTCTGTCTTTGCCTTCACTTCTGATCTTGTGGCTCCCTGTGCACTAGAGCTGAAAAAGGCACCACCAGGAAGCAGGCCCCAATCCAACTACTGACTGGAGCACACAGCTGAACAGAAGCACAGGCCTAGTCCCATTAAAGTTTAGGCCCATGTTGACTGGGGCCCTGTACTGCAAGGTTTTGTTCCCTACAGAGAGACTAAAGTAGTTTCTCTCAGTTCATTATTCATAGAAGCTACCCTAGGGTGTGCCTTGTACAAGTGCTAATTGCTGGTATGGAGTGATGCACTCTGTGACCAAGCAAACTGAGGGAGGCACCCTCCTTATGTCCTGGGAGGTGCTTGAGATGTAGTTGAATGCAGCCAGAGAAATGGATACTAAAATGTGGGCCTGAGAGCCACATTCTCCTTGTTGCACCCCTTATGAGGAGACAGTGTTTGGATATATGAGTAGTAAGCAAAGGGATTCTTTAGGCAGGTAGGAGCCTGTTGTTCTCTGCAGCTCCTTAGCTTACAAATAGCCTAGGCTGCCTTAACCAAATGTCAGCACACAACACAGGTTCTCCCTCAATTAGGGCCTGGCTCAGCAGTCCTGGACAGGGAGGAATCATTTGGGGTGGGCCCTCTCATGGGCCTGCCTGCCAGACACTATCCCATAACAGCATGCCCGTGACAGCTACAGCGATGGCTGACATAGCAAAGGAACATTAAGGAAGTATCCCTTGTGTCTTAGTTTCTGTGCAGCCACAGTTTGGCAGCTGGTAACAGAGAGGGAAGGCAGGCTAGCAGGGTTCCAACCTGCAAGGGTCTGCTTGGGGGATCCATGGGGCTCAGCTGGGAAGTACTGTCTGACTCTGCATGTTAAGGTTTGGTGAGGAGTTCCTTCGTTCTCCGAGTGCCATCCAGTTAAAAGAGTGGTTTCTGTTTTCTGTCTGTATCTTCAACCGCTGACAGGTTAATGGGTCATTTGTGTTCCCAATAATGAGATACACAATTGTATGTAATGTTATAAACCACCATCTGCCTCCCAGGCCTTTTTTTCCTTAGGAGCTTGGGGCCTATAGATAGGAGTCAGTTTGTAGGGCCCAGTGTCTGCTAGGGCAGATGCCCTGGCCCTCATAATATTCTGAAGAATCCCAAGCCATAAGTCTGTCTTCCCTTCCTTCAGGGACATTGAAGCTCATGGAGGGAGCAGATAAGCTGCTGTGGTCTGTACAAGTTGATCACCAGCTCTTCGCTCTGGAAAAACTGGATGTCACAGTGAGTTTAAATGCTAATAGGTTTGGGAAGAGGTTGCTTGGGGATGGAGAGTGTGGCATCACCTGGAGGCCAGCATTTGCCAGCTCACCTAACAGTATGAAGAAGGGCATTCTGGGATTGTCCCACACTCTCCTAGAGAGCCCTGTCATCAAAAGAAATGGAGGCTGTACTACAGCCCCCAAACTTTGTACTCAGTCACCTGGGGGGCAGGGCCCATGGCAGTTGCTTTGGCCCCATGAGTCCAGTATAATGCTGTGTAGCCTCTCCTTTTTCTCAGAGCATTTTGTTGCTGCTCTTGTTCTGTTATTAGGCCTTGTTTTTCCTCAAACTGTTATGATGCAAAAGAAATGGGATAGGGAAAAAATATCAAACCCCTTAGAAGGCCCCTCTATCAGTGGTCCAGCCTCACTTGGAAACCATGTGTAGGTCTGGCTTCCCTGTCCATAAGATGTTGCAGACCTAGGGGGTTTTAGAGGCAAACAACAAGAAGCATTAAGAACCTGGAGAAACCCTTGGGTGAGAATTTGGAAAGACCAGGATTGCTACCTCAGGAAGGAGGTGACTGATGGAAGGGGTGGAAGCAGGTGTGTTAATGAAAGATCTGTAGAAAGCAGGCTGGGAGCTTCTGTGTCCGCCATCCTGTTCCCCCCACCCGCTACCACGTAACGCTAGAAGAAAGGGGAATATTGAATGGGATAACATGGTGGGAAAATCAAAATCTGTCAAAGGCAATGCACATCCCTTGTGATTAAGCTGTGGCACTCGTTGCCACAGGGTGATGCTAAGGCCAAAATATCACAAGACTGAGAACAGGAAGGGACATGAGGTCCTGGGCATCAGAGCTGAAGCCAGTCTGACCAGCAGGAGATCCAGGAAGGGGCAAGTTGTCCCCCATCTTCCTCTGATGCTGGCCAGTATCCAAAAGAAGATGTTATGCTGATCTAGGTGGAACAGGGGGCTGGTCTGGTATAGCAGTTCTCACATTTGTGCTCTCGGGGAGCCCTCTGGAAGAAGGATGGTCAGGCTCAAGCACTTGGAGGCACGTGCAGGTGCTGAAAAATGATTGAGTCACAGTGGAGACAGAGGGAGGGAAGCAGCAGTGAGTAGGAAGTCCAGGAGCTTGTCAGGAAAGAATGTGTGTGGGAGGACAAAGGGATGAGGGGATGGGAGCAGGAAGCTGACTCTTCCCACCGGTGTTCTGTGTTGAGTAGGTTGAATGTAGAACGGCCACTGAGGCAAGGGGTCCCAGATTATTTTCCCCTGACAGAAGGAGACGATTTGTATCCATTGTTCAGAGAATACTGAGCTCCTTGTGGAGATTCTGCTTTGAATACAGGTTATGTCTGAGTGCGGGGATGGATGCTTTTCCCTCTGGGCCTCCTGGGATGGCTGGTGCCTATGCTAATCAGAGACCTTTTCTCCTATCCCTCCTCTCTGACTCCCAGGGCGATGGGCATGACGAGGTGGTGGCCTGTGCGTGGGATGGTCAAACATACATCATCGACCACAATCGGACTGTGGCCAGGTTCCAGGTGGATGAGAATGTCAGCGCGTTCTGTGCAGGTGAGAAGGAAGCCTGTCCCATTGTCCCTTGCCTGAGGCACCCGGGCCTGACAGCAAACTGCTGGGTTCCTGGAAACAGGAGGCAGAACCCTGGGGTTTTGGAAGAAGGGATCAATAGCATGGAAAGGTTTGTCCTGGAGGTAGGAGAAGACCCCTTGTGCTTCCTCACTCTTGGAGGCCTGTAAGACTGAAGGAGGCCCAGCTGACCTCTGCCCTCTAGCAGGATGAGAGGGAGGTGTGCTGGGGAACCCACCACAGCCCTGAGGAAGTGCAGGTCTCTTGCCACTCTGTGCTGCTCTTGCTTCTGGATGACCTGGTGTGGAAGCCCTGGACCCATCTGGTGAGGCCTTGTCTCATCATGGCATGTTCACCTCTTTATCTGAGGGACTTCTCTAGCTGTAGTCTGGTGACTTGTACCTTGGCATATGGTGGTGCTCGCAGCACCCTGCAGCTCATCAGCAGACTGGCCTCTGGTTAGGGTTTTGTACCAGCGGGAACACAGGCCAATCCAGCTGCATGAGGCTGGGACATTGGTTGCAGGTGAATGGCAGTAGTGTTAATTGCCACTGCTTCCCCACTGTCAAATTTCTGGACCGATGGGGAGACCCATGGGCCAGATTACATGGTTCCATGGCTGGGGGTTGAGCACCCTTGGGCTACGCCATTGTATTTTCCCTCTCCCACATGTGTCTCTCAGCCTCCACCTTGCATGCCTGCTTCTTCCTTCCTTCTGCCCTTCCGTAACCACCAGCACTGCCATGCCTTGCTCTCCACAGGCCTCTATGCCTGCAAAGGCGGCCGCAACAGCCCCTGTCTGGTTTATGTTAGTTTCAACCAGAAGATCTATATCTACTGGGACGTGCAGCTGGAGAGAATGGAGTCCACGAACTTACTGAAGATACTGAAGGCCAACCCAGAGTTTGAGGACCTCCTCCAGCAGCTGGGTGTTGGTGAGTGGTGCCCAGTGTAGAAAGGGCTGAGATGTGGGAGAGAAGTGGGGAGGCTGGGAAGGGTAGTGATGTGCAGAGAGCTGGGGTTCTAGGTACGTTCTTGGTGCTACAGTGTTTCTTGCTTATGGTGACAACCCCTCTCTCCTTTCATGCAGAAAGCGATGATGTTTCTGCTGTCAAAGACCTGATTCACAAAACCCTGTACTTCCCTGAGAAGCACCTGCAGAACAGCCCCTCCCAGCACCGGAGTCCTGCTGGAGCTGACTCGTCCAGCAATCACACTGTTGCCCAGGACTCCATATAAACCAAGCTGGGTGTGGACAAGTACCTATAACAGCAGTGACTCTTCTCTAGTTGATGGTTGGAGTTAGGCATGTGCCTGTGACTCAAGCTGAGTCTAGCAGCCAGGATCAAAGAGCATCTTCCTTTTCCATCAGCCTCAGCTTCCAGCAGGCTAACAGCAGTTGGACAAGAGACTTGGTTAGAACTGAGCCATTGCAGTAGGGCTGGGGCGAGGTGAGTTCTATATTATGAGTCATGGGTTGAGAGCAAATTGACTGACCCAATAGCGTCAAGATCTGCAGGCAAGAAGTCTGGTTTCTTCCAGTCTTGGGATAAGGAGATTTAGTAGTAAACTCTCAGCAGCTGTCTTCTCTGCAGGCCAGAGCATTTAGCTTGTCTTTGGGGAAGTGAGAAGTAGGAGGAGGAAAATAGCAAAATGTCAGTCTCTAGTTCGTGGTGTGGTGTTTAAGAAGGACCTGTGTTAGGGGAAATCTCCTGAGTTCCTAGCAGACATGGGGGAATCAGAGGGTGGGAGAAAGGAGGTTTTGGTGGTTCTTTCCCTGTATGAATCTCTGGACAGATATATGTAACGTTGCCCTGCTCCAGTGGTGAGGGAGAGCAAGAGAGCATCAGGTCAGGCCTGATCTTGCACAAGCAGCCTTCCCTGCTAAGGAGACAGGACCATGTGCTTACATGGCTAATTGTTTCCCATGTTGTGCTGATAATGGTAACGTGTGTGCAAACCATGCATGGAGAAAACCGAGAAGTGGATAGCATTGACTAGCAGACCGTGCAGTGCTCCCTCAAGAGAAAGTCTAGTCTCTTACCTGTGGACAGGCAGCGAGGGTGTCCCTGATGCTTATTGTCTGTGCAAAGCAGCCAAAAAGCAGTAAACTGAACTGTGTATAAACACTGTTCCTGTTGATGTCAGTTATTGGACAAATTGCCCCTGAGCCTTGTAACTGCCCATCAGTAGCAGCTGGGGAGGAGGGAGCGCTTCTTGTCCTTGCACTGCTGAGCCTGGGAGACCCATGTTGGATCCAGGGCTGTCCCTGGGGGAGGAGGGCACTGCATTTCCAGGCAGTGCTTCTTTGCCCTATTCAATCGTGTCAGTCCTGGCTTATTAGGCTGGGAGCATCAGGCATACTTGACTTGCTACCTTATCATCTGCCCTCCTTGTGAGGTTTTATTTAGTGTGTAATGACTGGAATTCCCCCATACAGAGACCTGCATGCGAGTCACAGCAAGGATCATTAATTTGGCTTGCTCCCCTCAGCAGATAGTAACATGTAGAGATCCCAGCTGCTGCTTGGCAGAGCCTGCCACCCTGTGTTCTGCAGAGTCACCTGCAAGTTGCCTCCTCAGGAAGTGGAGCTTAAGGTGGGGCAGAGAGGGCTGGGCAAGAAGGGAGAGGAAGCAGTAAATAACATCTGATTCTCATACAGTAATCCCAAACCCTGATGCACAGTCTTCATCCCCATATCACCAAGCATTTTACAGACGGTCGCTGTCCTGCTCTCTATTAAACAGATGTGGAAACCAAGGGAAAAGCTGTGGCCCCAGCCCACAGCAGTGAGCCAGCCACAGACCTGGAGACCATGGAGTTTTCCTGATTCCAAGTCCTTTGCTGCCTCTGAGACAAAGCTGCCTCATTGCTGCACAGCTACAGAGAGAGTGTTTTCATCCACCCTGTAGAGTGCTGCTGTTATTGATATCACTTTCTAAAGTGGCTGAAGTGAATGAAGAGCTTGTCTTACCAATTTCTGCCTCCCTCCCCAGCCCCCGTGGGACAGGCTTCTTGAATCGTTTAAGTGCTTTGGAACTGTTTTTCTCTGAGAGTAGGGAGGGTTTGTGGTTTAGATATGTTTTGCTCAAACTAAAATGTGGCCTGTGGTGGTTTTACAGAAGAATGAGCTGGGCTGTAGGAATTATCCAGCAAGTGGATGGAGCATTGAGGGTTGCCAGCCAAGGGCTGGTCTCCCCTGGCACATGACCTTGAGGAGTTATGTATGTACCCATGGCTGAACACAACTGCATGTAGGGACCCACTCTATTTGACACTTGGCTGGTGCTGGCTTAGCTCATGTGCCTCCTGGGACTGTGCTTTAGCACAGCATTTCTCAACCTGTGGGTCACGACCCAAAAGTGGGTCACAAGACTATATGAAAGGATCATGAACAAGCTTCATAAAATGGATCAACCAACTTTAAAAATGGATTCTCCTTTGAAGGAGAAAAATGTGGGAAACAGTCAGTTTCCCCTTTCAGACTAGCAGAGTTCCAACCTGGTTGGGGGGAGCAGGAGGAAGGTGATCAGGCAGGGGATGCCAAGTTCATGTGCATGTGCACACTTGCACATGGCAGCCAGGCAGCGTGGAGAGCAGCTCCTGCAGCTCCCTGCAGGTAAGTCTATGGGGAGGGGGGCATAAATGACGTGTCAGGGGAATGGGGAGGCACAAGTGACACCGCCTGCCACCCCATCTCCTCTCTGGGTTAGAGCTATGACCTGAGGGGAGCAGTGACAGTGGCTGGGCCATGGCAGTGAGGTAGAGCTATGGCCTGGTGCATGAGCAGCTGGCAGTGGAAGAAGGTGAGGGCAGCACAGCTCCCCAATGCCCCCCGTCCCCCATCAGTTACTCCTTGCGCTGCTGGCAGCATGACTGGCATGGGAGTTCCAGCAGCAGTGGCAGCAATGAATCTTGCTGCCCCACTCTGCCCTCCTGTGCTGAGTCATGCCCACTGGGCCGCAGAGACAGCTCCTGCCTATGCCGGTCCAGTCAGGCTGCAGTCCCATGCCCACTGTGGCTGCACAAATCTGGGGGGCACGTCCTGTCCCCCCCACACCCACCCCCTGCCCCCCACACTGGGGGGCTGGGGGTGGGAGGCAGCGGGTCAGGAGTGAGGGGTGCCAGCAGGGCTGGCAGATTTGGGGGCTGGGGGTTGGGAGTGAGGGGCATCAGCAGGGCCAGGGGGCTGTTTTCTACTTAAACTATTTAGTGGGTCAGGACTGGTCATCATTGTTTACAAATGGGTCCTAGTACAAAAAAAGGTTGAGAACCACTGCTTTAGCTTACGGTATTTCCTAGTGAAGATGAGCCCCAAAGAGGTTATAAACTGTGACAGGATTTAGCACCCTTGTACTGCCTCCAGACCAGCTGTGGACTCAAACACAGCAAGGTTTTGCAGAAGAGCTGCATCCCTCTCTGCCCCCTGCCCTGCCTGCAGTGATACTGGGATCCCATTTTGTGATGTGGGCCTAAGCCTGCTGGCACCAGAAATGAGGCCCTTACTTTAACCACCATTTCCACAGAGAAATGCACACAGTCATAGGCACGCACCTGCTCCTGCATACATTTGTGCACATGGATGTAACACTCCTTCAGTGCGCAAACCCCAATGTAAGGTGCACATGAGGGCACCCCCCATGCAGTAATAGTCATGCGTCTGCCCAGCCCCAGCTCAGTGCCTTGAGGAAGCTTGGTTCCCTATGTGTCCTGCCTTGCTTTGCTGCAAGTTCTCAACTGAAGCACTTTCTCTCTCTACTTCCAGCTTTACCACATACAGCCCCAGTCCCCAGAGGACCCCACAGCCCGCTGCCAGGGGCTCTCCATATGCCAGTGGTCTGACCCAGCAGCACTTCTTTACCTCAGGTCAGCTCTGGCAGAGCTATCTGCAGGGGCCTGTAAGCTGCTGCCCTCCTCCCCCACTGCAGAGTACCCCCAGCTGCCTACTGCAAAGCAGCTGAGCAGGGTCACCTTGTGCAATCACACAGGAATACCTTGCTTCTGGCAGCCTGCTCCAAGTGGAAATCGTTATTAATATGAGAGAGAGGAGCATGCGGATGATTGTTCTGATGCCATGTTTACATCTTAGGCACTGCCATAAAGATCAGTCTGTTACCAGTAGAGAGAGCCCAGGGTGGCAGCTGTGGGGTGATGACCTCTGAGCAGAAGCAAAGAGAGGCTTGGGCAAGGGTAATGATGACCCTTTGATCCAGACAATCCAAAGAGGCTGGCAGTGACAAGGGGAAGTGTAACCTACTCAACCTGACTGTCAGCCCAGGGGTGGCCTTGGCATATAGGTCCCTCAGTACCCTCTCCTGGGAACAAAATGGTTCAAATTTGCAACATAGCCTCCTTGAATGGAGGGGAGCGGGAGGGGGGGTGGGGGCAGGTTATGTCTCTGGATGCCCAGAAAAGAAGATGTGGAGGGCTGGTATTTAGTTCTTTCAAAGGGGTCAAGAAAGGGGATCTCAACCCTGCCATTACAGTTTGTTGCACTCATTTGGCTACCTGGCTGTGAGTTGGGTCTGTGACAGAGCTCAGTAGCTCTCAGCACTGCAGGAGAATATGAGCATCTTTATCTACTGACAGAGAGGAAGAAAGGAGGTGGGAGAATGTGTCTGCAAAGGCAAAGTGCAAAGACTGGCAGATTTAAACATAGGATTCCTGCAAGCAGGGAGAAGAGAGGAAGATGACCAAAATCCAAAAAAAGAAACAGGCTGTAGGTGGATTGTAGGTGCCTAAGGTCAAAACTGTGATCCAAAGACCTGCTTAGTAGCTTCCAAGTCCTGGGGGTGCCTAAACATTGCTTGGGGCTTCCCTGTGGGGCCTGAAAGTTTCTGGGGCCTCAAACCTTACAGAACTGCCCCAGTATGGGTACCTCAACACCTAGCTGTCACCTCAGCCCCCCCTAGGGCCCACAACCTTGGCTTGAGGGGCCTGTTCAAGGAGGTACACTCCAGGCAGTCCTACGATGCACTAGCAGAATTGATTCCCTCAAAATGCGGTCATGGCTGGTTTCCACTGCTGCAGGAGGAGCTAGCAGTGATCCTTTGTGTAAAGGTCTCCTGGTTAGAGGACTCGCACAGGAAGCAGGATACCTGAGTTGAGCATCCTTCTCAGCCTGAGTGAGGGAGGGGGTCAGACCTACATGGCTCACCCCCTGGGAGAGTACCAAGCCCACTGGGCCATAGGCTATTTTGTAGAGAGCATCCTTCAGTTGATGTTGAACCACTGGGCAGTAAGAAATGCAAGAGTCATAGGGTCAGAAGAAGCAAGCAAGAGGAGGCCTGACTGAGCTTTAGCCCAGTGAGAAGCTGATTGGGGCAGAGTCCAAGATGGATACTGCCCCTGGTCCCAGGATTATTTCTAGTTTTTATCCAATCATTGTTAAAAGTTGGATGCCTCAACAGTCCCAGGAGCAGAGATAGGAATCCAGGTCTCCCTCCTTCCAACCAGTTGCCCTTCCCACTGGGCTACAGAATCAGGATCCTCCTTACTTCTTCTACTAGCCCCATGGCTATGTAGAACCCAGGTTATGCAGTACCCTGGCTTCAACAGAAGGGTGTGCCCATTGAGCCTGTGCCATAGCCTGGTTTAAGTCACTCTCTTGGTCACTAAAAAATGTGGGTTTGAAACCCCTTAGGTGGAGGAGGGCCTTAAAGCCTAGATCTTATTCTTCCCAGGTTAGCACTTTAACCACTAGACCAGGGGCGCTCAACCCGAACCCATGGAACAGCTTCGCCTGCAGCCCTGTCATCCAGCCTGTGAGGCTCCCCACGGGTCTGGAAGTTTGGGAGCAGGAAAGTGGTGGCTCTGCTGCCCCACCACCAAATGTCCAGACCCCTGGGGAGCCCTGGGCCCTGCACACTGGATCCAGCACCCAATCCCAGTATGTAGGGCTGGGCGGGGCCAACACTGGGAACCAGGGCCCTGTGTAAGGGCTTGGGAAGGGGTAGCACGAGAGGCCTAGAGACTAATCCCAGTGGGAGGGGGGCAGTACCACACCCCTGGGGACCAATCCTGGTGCATAAGGGTGGAAGGGGCCAGTGCTGGGTCCCTTTCAGTGGAAGGGCCCCAGTGCTGGCATTCTGGGGTGGGAAGAGGTGGTGCTGAGCCCCAGGGCCCAATCCAAGTGCCCAGGGTTCAGTCCAGCCTCTGAACTAGCTCTGCCTCACTCATCTTGCCTGCAGGGTGAAAAGGTTGAGCACCACTGAACTAGGCTAGTATATAAAAGGCTGCACTGCTATCTACTGTATCTTAAAATGAGAACTGAGAGGACTATTGTAGACACCTACCCCCAGGGGAGAACTCTGGGCTTCGGATCCTAAATAAATGGAAGGAGATGTCTTCCTGCAGCCCTAACTTGGCCACCTAAGTGCTGGAGATGTGGGGGGCATTCAGACACACTCCTGTGTTTAATATTTCCCTTATGCCAGCTCTTGGCAGCTCTCTGCTGAGCAGACTGGCTGTTTTGAGTCCCATTCTGAGGTATACTCAGCTCGCTCCGAGACCCACATGGGGACTTCTGGATTCCCGTGTAGTCAGGTATGTAGCCCAATAACTAAAAGTGAGGCTGCAGTTGTAGTCACCTATGCCTCTGATTGGATTAAGCCAAAAAGTCAAAGGCAAAGGAATACTAACCAAAAGGAATAGTTTCATACTTGGTAGGGTCAGAAGGGACCTAAGCAGATCATCTAGTCCAACCCCCTGCCATGGGCAGGAAAGGATGCTGGGGTCAAATGACCCTGGCTAGGTGTCTGTCTAGCCTCCTTTTGAAGACCCCCAGGGTAGGAGAGAGCACCACTTCCCTTGGAAGTTGGTTCCAGATCCTAGCCGCCCTGACAGTGAAGTAGTGCCTCCTCATATCTAGCCTGAATCTACTCTCAGTCAGCTTATGGCTGTTGTTCCTTGTTACCCCGGTAGTGCTCGGGGGAACAGGGACTCTCCCATTGCCTGCTGGTCCCCCTTGGCCAGTTTATAGGCGGCCACCAGATCCCCTCTCAGCCTTCTCTTGTGGAGGCTGAACAGGTTCAGGTCCCGTAGCCTCTCCTCGTAGGGCCTGCCCTGCTGCCCCCTAATCATGCAAGTGGCCCTCCTCTGGACTCTCTTGATGCTGTCCACATCCTTCCTGAAGTGTGATGCCCAGAACTGGACCCCAGTACTCCAACTGCAGCCTGACCAGTGTCGCATAGAGGGGGGAGGATCACTTCCTTGGACCTGCTTGTGATGCATTTGTGGATGAATGACAAGGTGCGGTTAGCCTTCCTGACCGTGTCCCCTCCTTGGCAGCCCATGTTCATCTTGGAATCAGTAGAGACTCCAAGATCCTTCTCTGCCTCTGTGCTCACGAGAAGGGAGTTCCCCAGCCTCTATGTATGCTGCTGGTTCTTCCTCCCCCTCTATGCGTGTATAAGAAATCATCACTGTAAGAACTATGTAAGAAGCAAGTGGCTGCTGTAGGAAAGGATGGGACTGCTACTTAGCAGAATGGGAGAGCAAACAGCAGGCCAAAGTGGGGGAGGTGAAATGGTTCGTTATGGAGAGGAAGAGATGTAAGTGCAGCCAGTAACCTAACCCAGTTACTGGACCTGGCAAGAGTCACCTCTCTGCACAACTGGGGTTAACAGATGTATCAGAACCTTTAGCATTTACACTGAAGAAATGTGGAGCTGCTGAAAGGACTGGAAAAAAAAACAAAGGACATATCACAGGACAGCAAAAGAGGGGCTCTCCAGTCTTAAGCTGTAAATCCCTCTGCAGGGCCAGGCAAGTTGCTGGAACTGGTCAGAGTGGCCAACACATGGGCATTGACAGGGCAGTAAGCAATAAGAGCAGGTAAAAAGGATCTGTCAAATCATCACCATGCCAATTTACTTCTGGGCTCAATCCAGTTCCTGTTAAAATCAATGAAAAAATTCCCATTGACTTCCATCCAAGTTGGAGGAGGCCTTTAATTTGGTTTGATGGATCAACAAGCTTAATGGAGGAAGGAAACAGTAGACATGCTATCTATTAATTTCAGGAGACTATTTGATGCAGTTCCATGAGCCATTCTTAGCTGCGGACAAAGTGAGTTGTTGCAGGATGGAGACCCAAACACATGGAGCACCAACAGGCTTCAGTGTCAGGTGGGTAGCAGACTCAAAGCAGGTTTTCACAGGGCAGCCGGCTGGATCCAACACCACTTGATACCATTCTGAAAGATTCAGAGGATGGAGAAGTCAGACATATAAATGGTATGAGTCCAAGAGGATCTGCTGATAGTTTGGAAGATGGAGTCATCATGCAGTTGTGAAGCACATGAGAAAAGGCCTCCTATCGTTGGAGTTGTTAAAGAAACTGGCATAGAGTGGTTCACTGGGAAGAAATCACCAAATGCACACACACAGAACAAAGGAGTAGACAACCTCACCACAGAGGAGGAGCTGTAGGGTATAATGGGTGATAAACAATGGTCATCCATGTGAGGCTACTGCTGAGAGTAGCACATGTCACAGTGAGTCACATTGATACAAGTTTATCATGTAAAATAAGCAGGGTGTTTTTTCCAGTTGTCTTCGCACTAGTCAGACTTCAGAGTCCTCCCTCCAGTGTATGTCAGCAGTAAGCCAAAACAACCCCAAAATGAAATGGATTGAGGATTCAACAGAAAAATCCAGAAGACATGGCAGAGGGGAGATGCTATACATTTGTGGATAAAAGGATGGTACGAACAGGACAGGCATGTATTACTATGTCACAGGGGAAAGATGCAGCCGGGTTTAAGTTGCAGAACAGAAAATCTAAGTTAGACATTAGGTGCGCAAATTAATTACATCCGTTTAGGAATAGAGCAAGCTGCTCAGAATGGCTGTGGTGTGTCCTTCCCAGGAGGCCCTGAAGGGAGGAACCATACATCTGTCACTCAGTGGTGTGTTAGCATAAGGAAATTAAGCCTATCTGGATGCAGGAGGAAAGACTCAGTGATGCAGCAGTGCTGATCTGGGCACCAGAATTCATGCAGCATCTAGCTGAATGGCTGGAGCTTAGTGTGACGCTGTAGAGTTGGTGGCTGCCCAAATTCAGGGGCTGGAACTCAAGAGTGCAAAAGCGAGATGTGTTGGTGAGGGACGAGGAGTGTCCAGTTACAAGGTCTAGCTGTGAGAGTCGCTAAGCATGTGAGTTCATACATTGCAGACTCCAGTAGCCAAAGATGTCCTGGCCAGACCTGGGCTCCCACATACGCTCATTGCTCCTTAGGTCTTGCAGCTCGTGGTTTCCCAGCAGTTCCCTTACTCTGAATGAAAACACAGAAAATGGAGTGATTGCCACTTAAACTGCTTCCAGTAAAATCCTTCCCTCCTGACACAAAGCAGAGCAAGGTAATGAGATCCAGCTTTGCAAAGAGCAGAAGGGTAGGACACCTCCCCTGAAGCAGAGCAGATGGTACCTGGGCAGATCCATGGCCCAAAGGGAGAAGAACCATTTAAAACAATCTTCAGAGGCCTTAGGACAAGCCACCATCCAGCACTGTGTCCAGAGAACAGCCGCTCACAGTGACCTTTCCCATTGTCTTTAATAAGGGGGCATGGGAAAGGCGACATGGGATTTGGTGCAGAAGCAGGAGGCAGAGAGAACAGGGGCAGGTAGAAAAATGAGAACAGATGTCTGCTCAGCAATGGAGACAAGCAGAAAGGTCCTCTGGAAGGAGGAAGAATTCCCCATAGAAAGGGGCAGCTCCACTTGACAACAGCACTCCAGCCCCATGCAGCTCCTCCTAACCAGCCTTCCCACCTGATAGTGGCCTCCGCAGGGTACAGGTGTGTCAGCTGCACCCTCAGCCTCACATGTCTTTGGTACAGTTAAATGCCTTCGCACAGATGTAGGAAACAACCTCTCACTGCCCAGGCTCCTCGGAGGCAGGTAAGAAAGGCAGCTCTTGGCTGAGCGCTTTCAGTCGAAGGACTCCTTCATCCAGGTCGATGCAGCACTGTGGGAGGCAGACAAAAGCTAATTAGCTTGCCTGCACAGCAGGAGCTACACGACTTCCAGTTCAGGACAGTCTGTCAGGAGCAGCGCCATGTGGTTGAGGGTGCTACTGCCAGGGAAAGTAAGTTTGCTGTGTAGATGTGGCCTCTGCCCACCCACACACCCCAGCCATTGCTCCCTCCTTCCTTCTTCCCCTTCCCTGCACACCTCTTTGCTTCTCTTACTACTTCTTCCCAGGCCCATCTTCCCCCCCACTCCCAGATGATCCCCTTAAACAGGCAGCATAAGGGAAGAGGAACAGAGGTGGGAAAGTAGAGGAAGGTGTGATGGGCTCACCCACAACTAGCTCCCTCACTAAACCATCACCTCCAGGGAGAGAGACAAGGAGTGGGAGCTCAACCACAGAGCTTTTTCCAATCTGGTTCTAAAGTGATCAGGAAGGGGGAAGGATGCCCATGAGGCTTGTACCAGTGAGAAGCATGCTGAAGTCAGAAACCAAGGCACCTGCTGGCATCTTGGCAGGCCCAGCTATCAGCATCACTGACATTTCCAGAAGCCCCAGCCCAGTGCCCCCTGGCGATGTCATTTGGTCCACATTACATTCAGAAGTAGGGAGAGGGAAGTTTGCTCCTTACCTTCAGAGACAGCAGGGTCTGGAGGCCCAATGAAAATTCCAGCATTTCATCATCTAAGGAAACAGATGAGGCTGATCAGACTCAGGCCTGTGCATCCTCTGTCTGCCATCCTGGGGAAATGTCTCCCTGAGTGACCACTCCATAACTGATGGCTGGGACTTGGTGCAAGTCAATGGGTCCTACATGTACTAGACCAGCCAGTTAGACACATCAGGGAGGGTGACTATTCTCAGACACCTCAGCATTGCCTTTCCTACAGCTGCTGCCCAGAGCGGCTAAATGATAGCTTTGTACACTTACACCAACATCTTCCAGAGAGATCAGAGTGGCAATCCCACCCTCCCACATTCAGGAGGACCAGAACCATGTGTGAGGAGACAACAAGAAGGGAAAGGGAAAAGGAAGAAAACAGACTAGGCTGAAGCAGGGAAAGGGAGAGAAGCCATCCATAAGAAATCAGGAAAGAGGGAGAAATTGTCCACAGTGAATGATCCTGTGAGGAAAACAGAGGAACAGCCTGGAGAGGAAAGAGACCAGGAGGGTATCCATAGGGCTGAAGACAAGGATACAGATGGAGGCCACAGCAGAAACCATAAGACAACGAGGAACAGGAAGAAGAAAGAACAATCAATCTGTTGTTTTTATTGTATTCAGAGATTAATATAATGACAAATAAAGCAAACTCCTTGCTGCCCTTCAGGCACTGGAGAATTCCTATCTGATGGATTCTGTTTCCTACAGCTGCCTCCCACCCACATTCTGCTTCTGGTTGCTGCTAGAAGCCATCTGTCTTGCACCAGTGGGCAAACGCACACAAGCCTGGTTCATGGAAAGAGCCGATACCCTGGTGTGCACCAGTGTGACACTCTATCAGCTGTGAGCAGCCATATAGTGAATTATACAAGGAACCAGAAAAACTATTCATTCTAGACATTTCTTAAGAGGGGCAATTTTAAGAGCGAGAGAGAAATGTCCCATGCTGTAGACCTGGGACCCGAGGGCATCTCATCTCCACCATCAGTATGACCAGTGCCTTTGGCTCTTTCTGGAAGAGGACACAGCACCTTTTCTACATCCATCACCCTTAGCAACATCTAAGCCTGTAAGGCTGCACCTCAGCCCAGTCCCTGCTACCATCCTGTCTACCCCCACTCTGAAATGATCCCCTTAAACAGGCAGCATAAGGGAAGAGGAACAGAGGTGGGAAAGTAGAGGAAGGTGTGATGGGCTCACCCACAACTAGCGCTGAGCACGCCACCATCTCCTGGCCAAACTGCACCTCCATGTGCTCCACCCGGCTGACAACACAGGGGACAGGCAGCGAAAAGTCCCTACAGCCAATGTTGGACACTTCCTCCAGCCTGTGAGACACAAGGGATGTAACTGTCTGAAATGAGGGAACAGGAAGAACTAGGGGAGCTCTTGTTAGCTAACAGCATGTTCATGGTCCCTTCAACAACTGGCTGCAAGGCAGGGAACCTCATTCATACAACAGAACCAGACTGCCCTCCCCCCCACCCCAAAACCCACATGCACTTTGGTTTGAGTTCCCCTGAGTTGGTCATGTTGAGATATGCAGAACATATAGCCAAACTTTCAGTGCCCCTCAGTTCTGCTCTGCAGCCCCTCTGCTATATCATGGGCTCCCTGCCCCGCTCAGATAGTACCTTTCCCTCCATCTCTGCTTTACAAAGATACTTACCCCAGCTGTCTCAAACAGCTCCTGGAGATGAGGTTCTGTTGGCAGCCAGTGTTAACAGCAGCTCTCAATACCTGACCTTCACACTGGAAGGAAAAAAAAGGCAGGTTAATTACTGTGGGCTAAAACCTGACGCACACATGTGCTGCCAGATTCCTTGGTGAGAGCATGGATGTTCCCAACAGCTTGTGACAGAAGAGCATCAAAAGGTTTGGGGGTCTGAGAAGCACGCAGAACGTGGGTGTCCATCTGAGACCATGGAGGCTTCGATGCAACCCTGCAAACCCCTGCTGCAATCTTCCTGTGTCTCTTTAAAGGAGCCCAAGTGCAGGGGGGCTGGACCCAATGACCTTGTAAGGTCCCTTCCAGCCCCTAACATCTATGAATTTATGAACCTGCTACCCCTACCTATCCTGACATCTCTATAGAAAAACGAGGGGTCTCTTTCTCTCTCAGCATGGCATCTCCCTGTATTTTACTCTCTTTCTCCTTCCCCCTTATGGCATTTTCTCTGGCCACTGTGAGATCTCAGGCCTCAACTAACTAGTCTTTATCTGGCATTCTTCTTCCACTACATGACTCTTGCATGCTTGGTTCACTCTTCTCCCCTCAGCTCCGGTCCCTGTGACCTCTGGCACAGGGGTGAAGGGAGAGAGCATGGGGCTATGGGGCTGACAGGGACCACAGGGGAGCAGTTAACATCTGCCTTCTGCTCCCTCTACATGGCAGTCCAGTGTGACAGAAGGCCAGTGGCATTAGGAGCAATAGCAGCTTTTTGTTATTTGAAGATGACTGTTGCAGGGCACTAAGGTGCCTGCTCCTCTTAGAGCAGAGATTGCCCATGGAGAGAGCACAAAGAGCCAGGTAAGAACCCAGGTGCAGGTTGCCATGACAACAGGTTAATGAGGGTACTGGCCGCACCTGCACCTGGTCAGCTGGCCGGAGGAGGCAGGGCCCTAGGCCCATATAAGCCCCAGGGCTGGGACTAGGGAACTGGCTCCCTACCAGCAGCTGAAGGGGAAGGAGCCTCCAGGAAGGAAGGGCCCAGTAATGTAACTGGCAGATATGCTACCCTTAGAACAAAGAGCACACCAGGGGTCCATAAGGTATCCTTGCCTACTAGGCACTGAGCCTCAGAGAGGGAATTTACTCTCTTAAAGGAGCAGAGCATGCCTTGAGTTTTGTGTTATGTTATAGCTCAGGGGCTCATGGTGGTTGGCTGTTGTTTGTTTGCTGTCTGATAACACTGGTGGTTTGGGTGAGGCTATTTGGGGAAGGAGGAGGCCTCATTGAGGCCCACTGCAGTGTGGGGACCCCAGTGCCAGTGTAGGTGCAGTATTTGGGGTGCACAAGCCCAGGTGCCAGGGAGGTGCCCAGGTGCCAGGGAGGTGCAGAGGCAGGGCTGTGGAGGGTCCAGAGAGGACAAGTGGGCCAAATCACAGCAAGACCTAGACAAGGCAATGTTGGTACCATCTGTGAGGCTTGGGGCATGGTAAAGGGGTGGTTGGAGCCACGCATAAGGCTGAGAGACTCTGGAACTGTCCATGCTGAAGCAGGACGCCAAGGGGTCTATGAACAACAGGGTTCAATAGGATTTAGCCAGACAGTGTCCAAACCTAGATTGAGAGCAGCCTCCCTATATTAATCATACCAACAAGATGTGGTGGGTGAGATAGAGGGTGCTTGTAGGGCAGGACTGGCATGGTTAAGGAGCCTAGAGGTAACATGGCCACCCCTAGGGACCCCATCCTGCAACAATGACTATGAAACCCTGGGACTGCCAGGCACTTTGCAGATGAGCAGGAACTGCATGCACAGGAGGGCGGGGGGATCAGAAGCACTATCTGGCAAAGGCAGATTAGCTCCTATCAAGGCCACCTGTCTTACCCCAGGCCCTGACAGTATTGTACTAATTTTAAGTATGCCAAGTGATGGAGTTTCCCCCAGGGAAGATTTTCCTCCAGACCAGCCCATCTTGCGGCTGAGAATGTTCCCAAATATTTGACCTGCAATTTCTTTCCTTTCTTTCACTAGGAGCTACTGCTTTGCCAGATAGATGCTATAACAAAACTCTTCCTGAGCTCTCCCAGAGGGAAAGATGGCTTTATAGTATCTCCAGTGCAAGACTGTGACTAAACAGCGTACTCTAACCCATTTCCTCATTTCCAAACCAAATCTTTTTGACTTGGTTATGTGGATTCATCATCTCAGAGCACTAAATCCAGCAGGAAATTCCATATTTAAAACAGACTATTTGTGAGTCATGGAAAAGAGAGAAGAATCCTAGAATCATAGAAGTAGGGTCAGAAGGGACCTTGTAGATCTTCAAGTCCGACCCCCTGCCTGGGCAGGAAGAAAACTGGGCTCAAATGACCCCAGCCAGGAAGGCATCAAGCCGCTTTTTAAAGACCCCCCAGGGTAGGAGCCAGCACCACTTCCCTTGGAAGTTGGTTCCAGATCCTAGCCGCCCTAACTGTGAAGTAGTTCTTACGGCTGTCTAATCTAAACTTACTCTCCAACAACTTGTGGCTGTTATTCCTTGTTATCCCGGGGGGGCGCTAGAGGAAAGAGAGAGACTGTGTTGGCCAGCTGGGAGTTGATAGCAGAAACAGCATGCTTCACACCTCCAAGATTGGCAGCATTAGCAATGACATCAGAAAATGCATGTGAAGGAAACACCAGGACCACCAAACCTGGAAATCTCAAGCTCATCTTGCTTGAAGTTGTATAGTCCAGAGGGTTCACCATTCTGAAGCTTTAAATCCAGCAAGTTCCCAGAAGAATTATTTGCTGCATGCCTCCAAATGCCTTGAGGCTGAAGAATACTCTAACCTCTATAAAACCTGCCAAGGTACAAACACCAGACATGTTGTGATACTCAGGGCTATTAGTTTGAGAAGAATGAGGTTTTAAAGTGAGCAGCCTAGTTTGTGAACAGGGACAAGGAAAATCAGCTCTCCACACTCTTGACTTAAGTTGTTTTGCATCTGTTTCTTTTTGATGTAGAAGGGCATGTGAGGGATTATGTTCAAACCACATTTCAAGAGGAGTTGTCCTACTATTCCTTCCACGTACAAATCATTTGTACACTTGGCACATGCAGAATTCTTCATGTGAGCATAGACTTGTATATTTTACAGAGGGTGAAACTTACTGTTTTTATGCTTTATTTCAAAATTGGCCAAAGAGGCTTTCTTAGCCTTGGGTAAAACACCCAATTTGGGACACAAAAAAGACACAGAATGCTCAGATCTAGGTGAAGAGCTTGGAGGGTCATTGTCAGGGCCTCTGATCAATTGTGCCTGGCTGGACTGAGCACTTGAGCCATCACCTGCCTCTGATCTTTGGCTGATTGAGACTGTCCTCATTTTCTGAGGAGGTGAGCAACTCGGTTGGCTGCTGAAAGTGTTGCTTACCCCTTTTAAGCATATACGCAGCATCAGGCTGCTGACACCTTGACACAATCTCAGTCTGTTCCGGAAAGACTTGCACCCTCTGGTTCTTCTGATTATCCTGGTTCCTGACTTGGATTAAGCTTGTCTTGACTGTGACCTTGCATCTTCCCTGGCACTAGGCACTGACTCTCTGACCCCTGGTTTCTGATCTTGGCTCACTTCTGGGATTTTGCCTCTTGGTCCTCTTAGAACTTGGTTTCTGTATTTCTCAGCCCCACAACATAGACCCTCGCCTGACCCTCTGGTAATCTGTGCTGCAGTCTTGCTGACCCCTTAGCTGCACCTGGCAGCAGGCCCAGCTACTTGCATCCTGGCTGCACCCTCACAGTTGCATCGTTGTTAGCAATCTCTCAATTTGAGGATGATCTCATTGGTAGGTCTTAACATGATTTAAAAGTCCAATCCTTGAGCCAGAGATCTGTCCATAATTGCAGGTCTTTCCACAGGGGAGAGTAGCCTGTAGGCTGGGATTCCTATCCTTTTCCTTTCTCTGTGCTCTCTTTGCTTCAAGGGCAAGATGCTTAACCTCAAAGTGGGCTGCCACTTGGCTGAGGTTGTGGCACTATTGGAGTCATTTAGCAGCCAGCTCCTCCCAGCTCTTGATGTCAGCATCTCTTTTCTTAAGGTATGCTTTCAATGTGTCCTTGTAGCATCTGCATTCAATGTCTGGTCCAGTGAAGTTGGTGCTTGAGGATCACTGACCCAATGCTGGTAACACTGGCTTCAGCAAGGATGCTGGCATTTGTGTAGCAATCTTCCCATTTGATACAAAGGATTTTCCAGAGACTTTGTTGGTGATACCTCTCCAGGCTCTTAAGATGACAACAGTAGATCACCCACTTTTCACATCTGTAGAGGAGAGTGGGGATGATGGGTGTATTGTAGACCTGGATCTTGATGTCTTTCTGGAGATCACAATCAATAAAAACACACCAAAGCAATTTCCTGAAGCAATCCTCCTGAAGGAGGAGCTTGTGCACCAGATCCTGTGCTGGATCTCCTCATCAATGTTCACTCTCTGAGAGAGGTAGCTACTGAGATAAGGGAAGTGCTCAACTACCTCCAGGATCGGTCATATATTCATGGCCTGGAGAAGACTGATACAACACTTTGGGCTTGTCTCTCAACATCAAGAAGAATAAAGTTCAGTAGGCTTCTGCAAAGAGATCCAGCATGCTTCGGAGATTTTCCTTGGTGTGACAAGGGTGGTACAATCCTCAGGGTACTGAAGGTCAAGGATGGTTGTTTTGCAAAGTTTGGTCTTTATACAAAAAACATCCCAGATTGAAAAGCCCTCCATCCTCCTTTGAGCTTTGGCTTTGAGGAGCTTATATGTCTCCTTCTTCTACTGAGATGAGGTGTCATCTTACCAAACATAATAAGCCCTTCTCTTCCTATCAAGGAGGGCTTGCATCTTGGCATCATTCTCATTAAACCAGTCTTGATGCTGATGGGTGGCCTAGCCAGTAGTTTCAGCACAGGCTGTATGGACAGTGGTTTTAAACTCCTTCTAGAGTTCCTTCGCATTGCCTGTTACAACAACCATGTTACAACAATCATTTTTATGTTTTTGACTGCAAAGGATGTTTTCAACTGCAAAGAGTGATCCTGCTGATGTGGTTTTTCTGCTG